CATTTACATAATTTAAAATAAAGGAAGAGAAGATTATATTTTTTATTTAATTTAATAAATTAGAAAAAATTTATTATAATGTTATTATTTTATTTATTGAAATAAAAATTTTAATTATGTTTTTGAAAAAAATAAATATAAATATAAATAAATCAAATCCTATCAAATTCTCCTAGATGAGATTAGAAACAAAGATTATATTTTTTATTTAATTTAATAAATTAGAAAAAATTTATTATAATGTTATTATTTTATTTATTGAAATAAAAATTTTAATTATTTTTTTGAAAAAAATAAATATAAATATAAATAAATCAAATCCTATCAAATTCTCCTAGATGAGATTAGAAACAATGGATTTGAAGGACTTTATTTACCCTCCATCTACCTTCCCTTCCTTCCTTCTTTTTTAATAATTAAGTTTAGGAAGGGAAGGAGATAAAGTAAAATATTTTCATCCAACCTTAATTAAAAACACAAGGTCATACATTGGTCCAATTCCACTTTTTATTTCATTTATTATTATCAATTAAAAGCTTAGAGCAGTACTAGGGGCACTCGCCTCCTGCACTGTCCTTCCAACACATGCTTTTATTGGACCACGTATGCTTGCTTGACTATGAAATGATCACCTCTGCGAAACCAAAATAACGTGGCCCAATGAAAATGGAAGTGTTGGTTGGAGAGTGCAATTGGCGAGTGTCCCTAGCATTACTCAAAAGCTTAACATACATAAAGACTTTTACCCTCGTTTTTCTACTTTTTTCCCTCTTCTCGATGTGGCCATGTGGAGCTTTGCCATTCTACATTTCAACCTATTTCAACAATATAAAATTATAAATTGGATAGGGTAATCAGACACAACAGACACGTTGAGGCTTCGTGTAACATCTAAGAAGTATGTAGGCAACGTCGTGGAATTGCCTTGGCACAGAGAGGGTTCTTCATCTCAGATGATAGTTTAAGCACCTCAGTCAAGTCAACTGGGTTCATCGGATCTCGAACCCACTCAAAATGGTGCACCAATTTTGCCACCCAAAGGCTAACCGTCACCAGTCCTAAGTTCTTTCCTGGACAAACCCTGCGTCCGGCGCCAAACGGGGCAAGCCTCAAGTCACCACCCCTCACCTTCACATCAACGCCACCTAAACTCCTCATGAACCTCTCTGGCTTGAACACGAGTGGGACCTCCCACACATTTGGGATCATGAGTTATGGCCTACATGTTAACCATGGCCGTTGTGTTGGCTGGGACAGCCATTCCATTACTGAGATGGACGTCTGACGAGGAAAGTCTTGCCCAGGAAAGAAGTGAACCAGGTGGGTGTACAGTGTACACGTAGTGTCTCCTTGATTACAGCTTGAAGGTAAGGTAATTTAGCCACGTCAGCATCTGTCACGGTCTTGTCTCCTACGACAAGATCAAGCTCTTGATGTAATTGGGTCTGGCTATCAGGGTTTAAGACCAACTCGGCCATCACCCACTCAGTTAAAAGCCCTGTCGTGTCAGTGCCACGAAAAATCATTTCCTACGGATATAAAGTGAAGTTTATCCGATTATACAATCACATAATTTCTTATAAAATAATATTATTTTATAGTAATTATAAGTTGAATGTATTATTTTTAATTATTGATTGAGAGGTAGTGGATGTAACACGATACTTACCCATAAGACTGCCACGGTATCATCCTCGCAAAGCATGTCAGTACCATCCAAAGATAGCAAAACATCAATAAAATCAGAACTATCAGAGAGCTTTTGTGATTGATTCCGGTGCTCTTCAATGATTTTCTTTACAAGATTCTTCACTCGAGGGACAAGAGTAGAGCAGCGCTCGTTGATGCGAAAAGGGTCATAAAAACCGTTCAGCTATGGCAGATAATCAGACCAGTTAAAAGCCCCCAAAATTTCAAACCCCTCCCTGACCATCTCTTGTAACTCTCTGGCTTCAGCGTTGCATTTTGTCAGGTCATATCTTTTACCAAAGACAGTCCCCATTATATTGTTAAGAGCTGCAGCTTGAAGATGTTTACGCAGTAAAACGATACCATTAAGAGTTTGCTCACTCAAGATGGCACGTAGCATGGCGGCACAGTCTATTTGTCGTCCGCTTTAATATTTAGATTTTCATGAAAACTAATGACATTTTTTGATGTTAAACTAATGGTAATGGCATATATTGACCGTGAAATTTTGTAACATCCCTTCCTCCTAAATTTTTATTTTAATAAAAAAAAAAATATCTTCGGTACCCACTCCACACCACTACCTCTACCTTTAACTTGGTGAAATTCAGAGATTGTCACTTGATTGGGAGATACTGGCCTTCTTAATCATTTCGATTGATGGAAACATGTCTCTCTAATGACTAATGAGAGTTGAGACTTTAGAAACTGAGAGTTGAGACTTTGGAAACCTAATCTTTTCTAAATCTTTCCTATAAAATCTAACTCATGTCATCATAATTGGGTTTGTGAGTTGGTGTTAAAACAATAAAATATATGTATCGCACCAAACCCTTCAGATCAAGTGGTAATAGTTACCTCACGGTGCATTTTCCTCTTCTCCTGGATTGAGCACCAAACCCTTCAGATCAAGTGGTAATAGTTACCTCACGGTGCATTTTCCCCTTTTCCTGGATTGAGCACCAAACTCTTCAGATCAAGTGGTAATAGTTACCTCACGGTGCATTTTCTCATTTTCCTGGATTGAGGTTCGACGCGACCCCTTGTCAATCTGTTAAAAAATAATAATAATAATAATAATAAAATAAAATATATGTATCACTGTTGACACCACACCAGACAATTCAAACTTGGTAGCCAGCAAAATGAGTTCGTCCAATTCTCGGGGAGCCCCTTCCCTACCATGACAAACTTCATCATCGCCCACTATCCAAGATACTCAAGCTCCTTTTCTTCTATTTCCTCACCCCCTAAACCACACATCACTGAAAACTTGTTACATCAACAAGATATGTTCTCTTCCACGGTTCCACCGCCCGCACCTTTCTTTTCAACATGGTTTGATTCCTGATGCTGGCTATAGCAACCCCATGTTTGAATTCTCCCATCTCGATATGATTGTGAGAACATTACAATAATAAAAGGAAAAAAAGGAAACAAAATTTCTGCTTCGGGAGTGATTGTGAAGGATTGCAAATGAAAAAATTGAACAGAAATTTCAAAAGGTTTTATATTCTAAACTTTTATTCACCAATTTCTTATAGCTTTTGATCTCATGCCATTCGTCACAAGGATTTAACAAATGGAGAGCCTGAAGCAGGCTGCTATAGCCTTTTTTTTTTTTTTTTTCTTATATATATATTCTTACGAAAGCATATGCACTAGCATTTTTCTTTAAACCACGAAAACATAGAACATGCATGTTACAGAAGAAACTTAGAAGCGATGCGCTCTGATTCATGCTCTGGTTTGGACCATCTGTATAGATTTCATCAGCACAGAATCTACTAAAGTTGTTCATCCTGTGAACCATTCTTTGTATTTGTACCATTCAATTGCTTGTCCTGTTGAGGAGGCTTTTCCAGTCCCATCTCCAGTGAGCCATGAGCCGTCGATTCCTTCTTGGGATCACCCTGGTTCTTCCGGTAGATGAAGTACAAGATCAACTGAATTGCTCCAAGCCCACATCCGAAGCCATTAGGTATCTACAAAACACCATCAATTTTGGTTTTAGCATCTTTACTAAATCATGCAATTCAAGCTGATAAAGGAAATGTTACCTACAGCAATAAAAGGGTCACGGCCAAGAAGACCAAAAATAAACCATGAAGTGCCACAGAGGAACACAAAAAGTGACAAGAAGAATGGCATATATTCCACACTCTTGGTCTTGATCACCAGCCTCTGCATAAACAGATGAAGAAAAGACCCTTCTCAGTCAGTCCCACCTCAAAATTCACAACGGTATCCTAGACAAAGTAACGAAGTACTCACCATGATGGACAGAGGTGAGGCATACATGGTGATGGAGAAAATGGTAGCAGCCAAACCACAGAAGAGCATCCTGGCTTTGCCATGCAGGACCAGGACAGAAACCAAGGCGATGGCTGAGAAAACAGTGAGTATAAACGCGAAGAGACCGAGAATTTTTGCCTTCTCCTTCTTTAGAGCGTAGATGAGAAAGACCAGCACGTAGATTGATTCGATTGCTGCTCCTGTACCGTTGATTGCTGTAACCAGAATGTTGTTTTTGGATACAAAGGGGAGGCCATACCTGTATATCCTCAATTGATCAGATCAAAAGTTACAAATAATTAGTGAACATAAAACACATCCGTATATCCTCTACATGCATGCATCCCGATTCAAGATACAATTTTGCATAATAAAAAAAAAAAACAGTAAGAACTTCTAGACCATATTCATTTTTCTTGTGGTATCAAAATATGTCCTCAGAGCAAGCAATTTACAGAAATACCCTCTCGAAAATAGCTTAAAAAGTTAAAATTTAGAGGGGCAAAAAGGGTATTATCGGGTAAACAATTGGCTTGTCGAACTGGATCAGTGAGGAAAGCTGTTGACTTGAATGGATGAAGGGAAGCAAGCTCACCAAGCGGAGAGGAGGCAGTTGAGCAAGGTCATCACATACGGAATGCCAGAGAACTGTTCTGTGGACTTGCTTTTTATGATCCTCTTAAATGTAATCCTTCACAATTAAACCCCAAAAAGAAATCAGCAAAAATAATCCCTTGAAAATCATCATCTAAGATTTTCGCTTTCTATCTTCTTTCTTTAATCCCCTTTTGGGAAAAAAAAAGTCCAAACAAGCTGTACAATCGAGACCATTTTGAAGAACTACATAAAAACCCAGAAAACAAGAAGAAAACAGAGGAAGATTCAAGAACACTTTTGAGGTTTTCAAGAACCTAAAAAACCCAGAAATTTTTAGAAACGAAGAGAAAGAGAGGAGTTTTTATTGAGATACATACGTAGGAGCCAAGAAGAGGAAGAGACCAGTGGCATTTCCTGTGAACAAAGAAAACAAGAAACAGAGAAACACGTAAATCTCAGAGCCGGCCAAGAAAACAGAATCCAGAGAAAGAGAGTAAAACACAAAGCAAATATCCAAACAAAACTCACCGAAAACGCCGACGAGAAAATGCAAGACATCCATTTTCCGGAAGAAAGCTTTATCAACCTGAAATTCCTTTCTGTTTGAGGAAAAGGGAGAAGAAACCCAGATGAGGAAACCTCGACAAAATGAAATTACTCTGAAGAATTGAAAAGAAAGGCGGAGTTTTTGCAAATGGAAATGGGAATTGAGAGTGAGATGACTGGAGGGAACGAGAAGGAAGTGGGTTTATATTGAAAAAGAAATGGAAATAACAGGGAAGAGTGGTAAACCGAAAACTAAAGAAGAGCACAGTAATCATATGTATTTTTTGTTCTTATCCCTAGTCAGTAGGGGAGGCTTGGTTAGCAGAAGGGCCTGTATTATTGACTGTTGTTCATTTGTGTCCCTATACTTCAAAAGTGTTTTGCGGGGTCCTTTTCTTTAAGAGGTACAATTTTTGGGAGAATGGGAAAGGGATAATGAGTGAATAGAGGGTTTTAACCCTCAGCAACAGTTGCTAGCCTGGTGGCATTTGGCGCCTAATTTACCTCGTGGGGACATTGTTTGTTGGAATCCTTAAAACTTGGGGTTTAGTTACTAGGCATTATTTATTACTTTAAAATGGGTTTAGTTATTAGGCATTATTTATTACTTTAAAATGTTTATTGAGGTTCTAAACAACTCATTTAAGGTGAATTCTAAAGAGTTTTAATGGGTTCACAGTTTTATTTAATTTTGAATTCTCTTACATTTAAGAGCCACATTTTACTAATAATCCACAATAAATGATAAGTGTAATGATGTTTGCTCTCTTGCCTGTTCCAACTGAAGATTATGTTCGGCTTCTGGGAGGAAATTTTAAGGAAATTTGAAGAAAAAGTTTTTGAGAATTGGCTCGACAATCAACATTGCCTCCTCTCTCACTCCTCTTATCAACACCTAAAATACTCCTTGAAATGTGTTTTTTTGTTTCCATGAAATTCATTTTTTTTCCTTCAAATCCTCATTCTTTTTTAGCTAAATTAATATCTCTCCCTTTGACAAAAAGAGTCCTTCAATTTTTCTTGTTATGAAAATCCTGTCTTAAAATTGTTCCTCCAAATCCATCTTAACCGTATAAAAAGGGGAACTCGAAGCCACAAGCATTTATTATTATTTGGAATTTGGAGACAACTTTATTACGTTCGAGTATTGCATAATAAGTAGGCCTACCTTGAGTTACTTTGTTGAAGGGGCCAAAGGGGAAGCCAAACAACTAGTCCAAACTCCAAAGTCTAAGCCTCCAAGTTCGCTACATACGGCTTGTTAGCGCTTCATACTCTTTTTGTTTAACAAGCCTATTAAACTTTTTGTTCATCCCAAAAGAGAAGGAAATTCAACTAAAAAAAAAGAGTATAAGAACCATTGAAGGAAGGTAACTATGCGCTTTCATGCAAGATGTATTAATTTGGGACCCTTTCCCAACAACAAAACAAACCCAAGGGCCATTTGCTCCAGGAATTTTTTTTTTTTTAAGTTTTCTCCTGTATCTCATATTCTAGCCAGAATGCCATTCTTTCGCCCCAGATTTCTACTCAAAGTAGGCCCCAAATACACAAGAATGTTCAATTTAATTAAGTAGTTTATAAATTGAATTTTACGTACTGAGTGATTGAATTTTACGTACTGAGTGGCAAGCACCAGATACAGCTAGAAGCAGAACCTTGTCTGTATAGATGTTGCTTCTTCCAGTCAAAATGGCATAATCCAAGAACATAAGACATGCAATCGACATGAATTTAATTTGTGATTATAAAATATAATATTAGTAGTTAAATGCATTATTGTTTTTTCCTTTTGAGATATTTTCTAGCACCAACAAGTTCTGTATTTTTTTGAGATGTATTTGAAACGGGGAAATTGATGTGTGGAGCATTTGATGCTATCTTATTGGAGTTTTTTTCCTTTTTTTAACATGTAACAAAAATTTGGGACTGCCTACCAAATTCAATTGAATACAAAATCAGCACCTTGTTTAAAATTTACTGATCTTTTCGGTTTGTCTTACTAGTTAATTTTTTTTGCATTGAAATTTAAGTGATATTCTTTTCTTATAATTTGATTGGTAAATGAAATTTTTTTTATACATAATACTTATGAGTCATTTCATTCGATAAAAAATTTATTTAAATTATCATTTATTATATTATGTAAATATATTATTTACATTTACTTGTAGAAAATTAAACAAGAAAAATAGACGAGAGGAAATGGTTTGAATTTGAATCTTCAGTTGAGAAGGTCCAAGTTAGAGATACCAATGGTTTTGATCTCTGCGGGAAGAGCTATCTTTCAAAAAATACTCATGCACTGATGCGATTGGTTTTGGATTTTTTTTGGCCATATATAAAATGGCGAATGTGTTTGTAAGTCACTTTTCTAATGGCCATGTTGCTCGTCCAAGTTTTACATGACACATTTGATCGATGATGTATCATCTTTTCTTCTTTTTTTTTTTGGTAGTTAAGTTGGTTTACGAGATGACAATTATCTGTTTTTTTAGTATTAAACCCTAAATCTATAAGTTACATTAGGGTTTAACTAATTTAAAATCGAATTATGTCAAATCTCATAAAGGAAAAACTTTTAATATATGTTTCTCCATTTACAAGACTAAAACTTGAGATCTTATTTTAAAGAAATTGAGTTTCTTCCATTTAGATTAATAAATCATTATTAAGGAATTGAACATCTAAAAACTGGTGGAATTAAAAGCTTTTGCATTTGAGAGAAAGTTACAAGTTTGTAGTAGGATAAAATATCCTTTGTAATAAGATAGCTGTTTTCCCAAAAAAAAAAAAAAATTGACAATTGATTATGTGGTTATTTAATTATTTTTAATTTAGTATATCAAATGATAAATTATATAATAAAAGATAACCATTTTTTTCCAAGCCTCTCTCCTTACCCATCTTAAAATTTTTAACATTAAAACTTAACCTCTTAGCATTGAGAGGTCTCGTAAGGAATGATGAGGCAATTTGTTTGACACAATTACAAGGTATAATATACATTCCAAGTGGGTCCAATGCACACTTCATGGCATATCTTTGATTCAACTAAGTCTAACTAGTCATGTTAATCCGGTGGGGAATGGATTCATGATTTATCCCTTTCTCTTCATGCGGTGATCCTTCTATACCACCATTTAAACATGGGAAATAGGTTTTGCTAATGATTTAAATAGTTTTGTGGAAGTAAAAAATTATGAATTTAAGTCATATGACATATGAATAAGATAAGATAAGAAATAAGAAAGTATTGTTTTTTATTGTGAAACTCAAGATAAAAAAATATTAATTTCTTTATTTTTAATAGTTGAGATTTATTATAACTTTTTAAATAAATAAAATAATTATTTTGAATAAATATCAACTATTAAAATTAAAGATATAAATTATTAAAATTTTATATAAATATAATATATAAAATATATGTGTAAGTAAATTATATTTTATATATACAGAGAAAGATGCACCCACGCCAGAGCTTCTCCTCGTCAATAATTAGTTTTATACATAACATTTATGTTAGTCAAATCCAAAGGATTTCCTTATCAAGTTATTTTTAATTGGAAGTAACGTCGCAGCTGGGCTTGCATTTAAGCAATTTTTGACCCCATAAAGAAAAATGGCTATATAAAACCTCACTGACTTTTTGACTTCCGTCGTGTAAGCGTTTTTCACCCCTCGTTTTATTAATGGAAAAACGCACATGATATATGTGGATTATTAACTAAATACATGGTACATGTATTCATAACAAATATATATATATATATATTATGATTTAAACTACACTAAATTATATTATTTAAAACATTAAATGAAGGCAAACCCTTTAATATTAGGAGTTGTCTTCTTTTATCTAATGGTTCCTATTCATAATAAGGTTCTAAATCAAAATGTTGTGGATTAATACCAACCCCATCAGGATAATAACAAGTATTATCTTTTTATTTTTATTTTTATTGAACAAGTACAATTTGGATCAGGGGAATGAGGGATTTAGCCTGGCAGTGCTATGCCTTGAATTATGATCATTACTAAAACATTGAGTGTACCTAACAATCAATATCTGAGGCTGTAGGTGCAATAACAAGTGATATCAGAGTCTTAACAAAACTAAAAAATTTTATTATCCCAAGTACATGCAGTATTCCATTTTTCTTTACTTAAATTTAACATGACAAGAAAATTGTTTATATAAATACTATTCCACCATAAAAACCTTTTTTTTTCGTTATATATATATATATATATATAAAGAAACAGAATGTTGTTCTTCTGTCACACTACAATTTCAAAAAATTTCACATCCAAACCCAAATTATTGTGGGAATTAGGAAGAATATCCTAAATTATTACATGCTTGCATGAATCATTGAAATCCAAAACATTGTATCAGAGGTCCTTGACTAGAGCCTATATAGCCTTGCATGTGAATAACTGAATAATTTTGATTGATAATACAGGAAACTTGCAGCTTTACATGTATGGATATACAGTCTACATGTGACACTAGACTGAGATATATTATGAACCAGACAAACCATGACATATGAAAGTTTCAACTCTCACCTTCCCAATATGTATTATAATATGTTCACATGTCTGAGCATGCATATCTTCTCTTTTCTTTTCTCCCTCCATATCCAAATTATTATGTCATTGAATCAATAATTAATTTATAAAAAGAAAAAGTTTCCAGAAGTAATTAAACAAATTAACGTGTCTCACAAGTTTTAATTCACAAAGCCCTGAATCCTGCATCATCTTCAGGGATGCATGAGCACAAATTAGTTACCAACTGACTCAAAAGAAGCTGAAACATGTGCCCCTACATTCTTTATACATATATGATATATGTATATAATACAATTAAGGGGCCCCTGGAGTGCTGGCCAGAAGCATCTTCCTCAAGCAATAATGGCCCTTACTTTCTTAATTTCATCCTCATTTTCTTAACCCTTTTTTTTATGTAGTTGAGTGCAGCCTTTTGATCTTTAATTCTATTTTATGTCTACTTTGTGTCATTGCATTAGACTCAATAATTGAATCTTTATTTTGATAAATCAAACATATGTAGTAGAAGCATACTGGCCTGTGTCATCCTACAGCTAGCACCAAAGCTCCAGCTAGCCTGTTTCTAGCTTTTGGTACTTGCCTATTCTCATAACCAGACATGCTACTTGAGCTCGTAGATCTGTCTAGTCTTATGCCAACTCATTATTCCCAAAATAGAAACTTTCCGATGCCGACAACGGTTATAGCAATCTCAAAATTGATCAACTTCAAATCAACAAATTAACAGTAGGGCATCATCCACACAAGATACAAATTAATCCATGTTCTTTATATAATAATATGAGTATCTGAATCTTTGGTTTGAGAAGGATAGAAAAAGAAAACCTTTGGTTTGATTAATCTCATACAAAATCCTAATTTTACTGAGAAATACAGGGCAATAAATTAACACGGTTTGCAT